AAATGCCCAAGAAGTCAAACCAGGACTCTGTAACCAACAAAGGAATCCTGATGAAAGATATGATAAGGAAGTGACAGTGTAGAATCTCTAGGAAACCCTCCTGTATGGAATATAATATGATATTCCCTCCCTGTAATATGAAGCTGAAAGGACCTCTCTGCATTTAAACAGCAGTGTTATTTTTGTGTGACTATTTGTCTGTGTGTATAAATGTCCCCCTATTTGGAATGGATCCAAGCAGCCAATTTCAATCACCTTTGATTTTGAATGGAATTAAAGATAACCTCATTTCTTCAACTGCTGTAAAGACAGAAAGTGGAATAGAAAAGACAGACCACATGAATTTCTAAACTTAGGGAACGGCTGCAAAACTTATGCTTTTTTAGACACGGTGTGTCCACATTGTCTTTTCAGCCAGAGAAAGGCTTCTAGTGAAGTTGTCAGTCACCTGTGAGGATCCTTGTCCAACAGCATATTTCTGATGGGGTTGATTCTGTACCTGTGTGGGAACCACATGTGAATTGGCTTCAAAACCAATGCCCCTGGTCTCCCATGCAGAACCAGAAGAATATATGTGACTGGTATATATTAGTCACTCACCCGCTGTCTTGGACATGGGCAGCTTTAAGATGTAGGGGATGATCAAACTGCAGTTAAAAGTCATGCAATATTTAATTTCATTGTTAAGGTTCTCTGGTTTGATCTCAGGAACTGTTTTCATATGGGGATGGATTTTATGTTACTATTTCTGTTATAAAATTTATTTGGAGTGCATTTATCTCATATGGTGACTTAAAAAGTCTACATTAATTTAATCTGAAGGCATTTCAATATAGGATTGACATCAGGAATACTGGGAGGAATATATTTCTGGCCTCTTATCTGGAAAAAGAAAAATAATTTCTTGTACTTTCTTAACCTTATATAGTTTCTTTTAGAAATTCCACAGGAACATGCAATGATCAACAAAATAGTTCATTGAAGCACCTTGGTATCAATGTTTAGGTGATGGCATTGTACAGGGATGTGATCCTGGTGCCGTTGGGAGCAGTTGAAGCAGTTGAAGAAGAGCTGCAGAACATCAAAAAATCTTGAGCAGAAGATGTACAAGCTCTCAGGGTAAAATTAATCTGAGAACACCTAAAATAAGTAAGAGTTTATTCGAAGTTCTGTCTGATTATTGCAGAAAGATAAGGGTGATGCATCCTAGCTGACTTAGGCACCTGCATGCTATAGGATGACATTTTCAATGACTGGCTCCGTGACTTAGAGAAGATACCTACTTCACACTAATCAATTAGCTAACATGGAGGCTACAAAAGTTTCTTTTGCTATAACTTTAACCAAGATAGGGTTAGGCTTTAGCTCACTGTCAGACAGATGATTAATTTTCACCTTATCCAATCATAACTGAACCAAAAGCGCATTACAATAAGGTAGTTACCCATATTTAATTTGTTTTGTAGGACTACGTGTTGCCCTTCTGCCCAGCTAAGAGAATGGAAAGACTTTCAAGCGACCTCAGCAGGCTGAAATAAAGAAATGAGTTACTGAGGCTCCTAAACACCCTAAATCCAGAGTTTCTGCCCATTTCACTGATCTGTAATGGTCACATACCATGGCAATCCAAGCCAGTGGCAATCAATGGGAACAGTTCACTCTTCAGTTTAAAATTAAATAAGTAGTCAGTTATAAAAACCCTTTGCAAATTATTTCCTCCGTGTCCAGTACAAATCTTCATAGCTTTCCATTTAGGATAAATCTGAAGAGGAATTGAATGCATTTCTACTGGCACACTCTGATGATATTCAAGGAGTAGGTGTAGCAAGCTGTGGGAACTAAGAAATTAAGAAAAATACTGCAGTGCTGTCAAGAGTAGGTGTAGACATTTTGTACCTGTTAAACCAAAATGATGGGCCTAACATTTAAAATAATATGCCAATCTAACACTTGAGCAGAACAGTGATTTAGATAGACAGTGATCTTTTCTCTGCTATCCAGTTTCCCTAATACTAGAAGGAAGCCAAATGCTTTGCAATGCAAATTAAATGGCAAATAAAAGAATGGTGTGATTCATCTGAAAAAAAAATTTCACATAAGAAACCCCAGAAGGCAGGATATAGATCCCCTGTTTAAGTCACTCTATCCACTTCTGACTTCTCTGCACTAGCAGCTGTGACTGCAGGATTTTCCTTGCTTCGTAGGTTGTGCCTTGTGTTTCTCTGCCATTCAGTAGAGGTTTGTCTGAGGAAACATCATGGTTACAATGCTTCCTTTTTTTGTTGCTGTCTGCCGCATTTACTCTTCAGTTAGGGAGCAAGCAGAATAGTTAGTTACTAGTTGAATCCCATATCTCTGGATAATGTAGACGGCATAAAGCCACCTTCATTTCAAGTTGGTTTGTGTGCTGTAACAGCAGCAGGAGATCTTTGTTGGAACTAGACATGAAGTGTGGTAAGAACAACTCACCTCATTCTAAACCTGTAGAAATATCTTTTAAAGCCTCAGTCTCACATTCCCTTAAAAGCTAATACTAGAAATTTGGTGAAATGTTTAATTTTAAATGTTTAATGTGTAATTTAAAGTATCTGATAGATCCACTGAATCATGAAGCCTGATTTTATAATGAAAAAACCTAACATCTCTACAAAGTGAATGCAATGAAAGACCAAAGCAGAAGCAGGTGCAAGAATGTGAGAAGCCAGACTTTGCAGAAACATGTTCCTAATGTACTGTAAAATTGGACATTTGAACTAGCTGAAGAGCAGGTATGCACTGAGCTTGAGAAGGTACTATTCATGTTGCTTAGGGCTGAGGCCTACTCATTTAACTGCTACTGATTTCTTAAGGGTTCCAATTCAAGTCAGTGTCAGTAGCAGCATGTAAGGAGTGCAGGCACAGGCTCTTTATGCTGCTAGCAGTCACATTTTGGGACTTTATTAAGACTCAGATTTGCTGAACAGACTGTACTGCAAAACCATGCTAATTAGCATCTAAAATTCTTGGACAACTGCCACAGATTCCTGGGAGCTGTGTACACCACCAGCAAAAAATTGTTTTAGAGATGCTGATTGCCTGAAATAATTTGGACCCCACTTTAAGAGATAGGCCATACTGTAAAGCAAAATTTGTCATCTCATGTTCTCCCTTCATTTGGTGGATTGCTTTTGCTATACCCAAAATCCTGAGCTCTGCAGCAGAGGCAGGAACCCAAGGCTTATCCTGGATACATGAAGCACAATTAGGTGGAGCCTTTCCTTTCAATCTCCCTCAAACCCTCTCTTAGATATATTGGCTGTCCATATGCAGCTCTAAGTATCATACCTTGATTAAGCAAAAGCCTTTTGGCTCCCTGATGGGATTTCTCCACTGAACGAACTGGACAAAGACTTCTTTTGGGAAAGTCACAGTACCTAAAGAACTGGAGGGAGTATCTATAAACAACAGAAGAAAATATAGCATCCATAAATATATAACCTGGGACAGTTACAAAGCAGAGTGACACAGACTCCCCAGGCAGGTGCAAGAGAGAGTTCTTTATTGCAAAAATCAGGCCTTTTAAAGCAGTTAGGCCTTTGGTTACATGGGCCGTCAGTTACATTTCAGTTAGGCACAACAAATGTAATTCAACCAACCACCATAAACCACAATATGAACATGTAATGGTTATGTAATTTGTTTTTCTACCTCTCATTCAGCTGAGTCACTTTCCCATAGTCCTTTTCTGCTAAGCTGAATTAACAGGCCTGAGTTATGATTTTGCAAGGGTAAGGGTACCTTACAAAATAACACACAACAGTGTAGGGCTTCCCTTCACGGTACGTGCCTACAGTTGTGGCATGTGCCCTGCCAGTGGTATGCAGAGGACTTCAGGATGGCATGAAGGTATTTAATGAATATCTGAATGCCTCTCCTTGCCCTAAGAAACATGGTCCAAGATGGAGACAGGAACTCCTGAACAGCTGCCTCTGACATTTCTTCCCTCTGCAGGGAAGCAGAGCTTGCTGTCCTCTGCCTTGCACCAAGGAATACATATGTTTGGTCCAGAAGTTCAGGATTTTCCCTCAAGGCTAGCCTGCTGTGTTTGTGTCCCAATTGTAAATGTCAGGGGTCCAGCTGAACTGCCAAGCACCTATATGAAATCCTGATGAAGCAATGAGGCTTTAAAAATTTTCCCTTCTTACTGCATTTTCTTATAATTTAAATAAGCATATGTTAGCCTGGAGACTTCTGTCTTCTGTAGAAAGCTGTTAGCAACACTGTATATCTCATTCCAGCACATTTTGCTTCCCACAAATATTGACAGCCCTGTGCAAAGCAATGAGGATCTGTGCTTCTGACCATCACCTGTCAAAAGGAGGCATTCAGAGAGGAAACCCAAGAAATCAGGGATGAGCAATAGATGGGAGACACTATTTGGCTTATTTGTTTCATCTGCCGAAGACAAACAGAGCTGCAAAACTGACAGCAGAAGAGAGAGATGACTCCCATTCCTCTTCAGTCAGTCCAGTGAATAATCAATGCACTTTTACTCATTATATAACAGTATATTTTAACAATGCGTGCTACTAGTGCAGCTATTGAATTACCATCATACTAAAGATGCGTAATTAGATGAACTGCAGGAATCCCAGAACATGGTTAAAAATTCATGGCATGCTTTGGAGCAGCAGTGGTTGCGCACTGTGCAGCCGCCGGGAAGCTGCCATGAGCCTCTCCCCCCCGCTCCCCGAAGGAGCGCTCATCAGAAAGAGGTGGCACCGGCTTGTTTCAGGAAAGTAAATTAATGAGGAAGAAAGAAGCCAAGAAAGGTACTGTCCTGGCCATTATTACTGGCACTCGCTTTTGTGGCTAAACATTAGGTGGTTACGGCTGCCGTCAGTAACAGTCCACAGGCACCGAAGCATATCTGTGGTTTTTCCTGACGAGCCTCGCCAGCCGCTGTCCCGCGGGGCGCTGGTGCCGCTGGGGGCGGGGCGGCAGCGGCCGTTGTCGGGGCGGGAGGTTTGAATGGCGGCGCCGCCGAGGAGGAAGAGGAGGCAGAGGCCGGGCGGGCTAGGCGCCGCGGGGCCGGTGAGTGCCGGGGCAGGCAGGCAGACGCGACCGGGCCCGCACCCTCCGGTGCCGCGGGGGCGGTGTGGCGGGTGATGCGCGGTTGCGGGCGGCCCGGGGGGGTGGAAGCTGCGCTGTCTCCGAGCTTGGCGAGTCTGTGGTAGCCGCGTGCTGCCCGCGCACCGTGCCCGGGTGGCCGCGGTGTAGCCGCGCTCCTGAGGGACCTCGCCGGGAGACGCGGCGGCCGCCCCGGCAGAGTTGCTGCTCTGGGCTGGGCCGAACTGGGTCCCCCGCTCACACTCTCCTCCGCAGGCTCAGAGCTGCTCCCTTGCACCTCTTTAATCTTTCAGACACAGGTATTCCGATTCATGAGGGGTTTTTTACACCTGGACTTAGTTAAAAACCCAACTAATTTGTTGAACTCGGGAGTGCCTGTGAAACTGTGGCTGTCATTAGCAGAAAACGCTCATTTCTATCTAGCTACGAAATGCCCAAGTTGGTGTCTTGACTTCATAGTCCCTGTTTTAGAAGAGTACCCACTGAGAAGAGTACCCACTGTGTCGCCCTGAGAATCAGGTCTTTCGATATTGTTCTCAACAGTTCTAGCCACTTTCCCAGGAAAGTAACTATAAACATAGGTGTTTATACATTCCATTAAAGATATGCCTTTTGATAGACGTCTCTCACGGCCAGTGCAGTCGGGAAGGTGGTAACCTGGCTATCCAATCCCTGGTCGTGGTCGAAAACCTATAAATACTGAAAGAACAAATAAACGATTATTCTTTCACCACACCTCGAGCTGCGTCCGTGTGAATCATTTCGTGTCCAACAGTGACACCCACTGCCTGGCTACTCGCTTATCTTAAATAGATACACTATATTTATAGGGTTTAAATGTAAACCACTGTGGCAGCAAATCAGAAGTGTACCTTGGAATAAGATTCTGATAGCCTGTGATGAAGTTACCAATTAAATGAAGTAAAATTTCTACCTGTCCTACCTTCAGCAGTATCCATATAATTTTTCTCAGCCGTTGTTGTTATTTTTTGTGGTTTTGTCACTGCATTACCTGTGTAATACTAGAACTATTTGAAATTTCTTATACTAAGTATACTTAGGTAGGGAATACAAAGACACTTTTTGGAAGTGTTGCTTAGGTAGCTCTTGAGTGTGGGGCTGAAAATCCCAGCAGCTTTTAATAATCTTGTCTGGACTGTGCTGCCACTGGTGGGGGAAGGATGGACCCCCACAAGGGAAACAATGCATTAGACAGCATGTGGCATAACAGTGCTGTGTCATTCCTCCAAGTCCAGATGGTGTGCTTATATTTTTAGACAGAATGCAGGGGGGAAGGGGGAAAGCTGACCAGTCTCTTTTGGTAGGCACAAAGAACTTCATACGTTCCCAAATTAGGCTCCTAAGTCCTTCCTTCAGATGAGATTTATATGGTGTGGTTATTTAAGTTCTGGCCCAACAGCCATTTATTGCTAGTCCAGAATATTTTATGTGAGCCTGACTGAGATGTAGTTTGGAGAATGCTTTGTGTAATTCTTGAAAGCCCTAATATGGATACCTGCAGACACCCCAAATAGGAGTGTTTATTTCCTCACTGTAGTTCTCTAACAGGTGATAGATGTGGAGAGGAGCTAGGGTAGTACAGAGGCCTGCTCTCTTGGAAATTATTAGGGGGGAAGTAGGATGTCATTCTTTGTAGCAGCTGATTTATTAGTTTAGGCTCAGAGAGTAAGTGATTATTTCTTAGGGACAGGTGTGTATGGCCTTGCTTAGGCTTTCACAGCCACGTAAAATTTGACTTAGAAGAAAAGAAGATGGATGAAAGCTATTTACTGCTCTCCTTTTTTCTTTGATGAGTCCTAGGAAAAAGTGTGAACAAAAACGCAGGTGCTGAGAATGCAGAGGTGTTGTTGCCCGGCTTTATTCCCCTCTGGCTGTGATTGAAACTTTGAAAAGCAAACCTCTGAGGGTTAAAAATGGCATAGTCTGTGTCGTATAGGGTCCCAGGCTTTCATATATCGGCTGTAGAGAAAACCAGCAGAACTACTATGGAAAATATCTCTGATGTGAGCTTTGGGAGCCATTTACCATCAACCAACCACGAACTTGTTAATTCCAGAGGTAGTTGTGATACTCTTGTTTAGTAATGAGAAATCATCACTCTTCACTGACCTGTGGATTATTTGCAATGCAACCCTGCAATACCATGACAACATTGTGTTATTCACTCTGTTCTTCGCACGTCAGAAATATTTGGTTTGGCCGGGGATGGCCATATAACAATGTAAAGTGTTCATCACATCATCAACCATCAGTGGCATCTAGTAGGGCTTTGGGAGACAGAAAACAGTCTGTGATCCTTCACCTTAATTGTTTTCTGGCTTCATGTTGACTGACCTCTTTTAAGTTGAGGAATAATGCACATTTATAAATGTTTTCGGTGAAAGTAGGCAGGAAAATGTTGGCTTCCCAGCAGTTTTTATAAAACCTTAAAAATCCCCCACTCCTTAAAAATATAGCAATGGTGAATTCTAGTGACTTGCCAGCCATATTTAGTTTACTTCATAGTTTGAATGAAAAGGGTGCCTGACATGATGCCTGTATAGTCTTGAAGCCACCATAGCTGTTTGACTTTTCAGTTCATCAACTGTTGCAGCTGAGTATTGGGATGTCTCCTTTTTTTTGCTTCTGCTGTTATCTGAATTGCTTATCAACCATAAGTGAAAAAGACCAGATTTTCTTCACCTTTTTAAAGCCAGCCAAAGAGGTGATGAGATTGAATTTCTGATTTAAAATATTTCAGACATTTACTTCAGTTTAAAGTGTATTTTAGTGGGGGTCACTGTGAAAAGTGGGTTATTAATTTATAAGCTTTGTTCAGTTAGCTCTCTCTAGTTACTATTCTGTAAATGACATATGGAGGCACATAACTTTTAGCAATTTTCAGATGCTACAGTGAGTTAATCTTAGTTTGAAATTTGCATGTATAATGGATATAGTAAATCTGTTTTGTCCCATGATTTACTCATTTGTTCCTGAAGAGAGAACTACCATTCTACATTCAGTAACCATTACAATAGCTGTTCATAATTAAAACCTAGAATTCTCTATCCCATCTGCAGAAGATGTAAAAAATTTAGAATACTATTAGTTGATTTTTCGTTTAACCGTTTGGTTTTTTTTGCATATCTAGGAACATGACACTCAAGAGAAGATCAACTTTGAGGTCCACATGCGAGAAGGCATCTGCAAACTGCTCTCAGTGAGCACGCACAAGGAGCAGCTCCTGTGTGCGGTGAAGAACCTGATGGTTTGCAATGCTCGCATACGGGCCTATGGGGCAGAGCTGCAGGGCCAAAAGGAGGACCCCAGTCTGGGAAGGACTGATGACCAGTGAGTAACAACTCAAATTCAGAGGGAGCAGGATGAAATTCATTTACTTACATGAATTTTTAGCAGTCAGTCTAGGAATGTGGATTTAAATCCTTCCATATCTCTTAAACATAAATTATTGCTCTCTTAAAGCATTAATTTATAAAATAATTCCATTATCTTCTTTTTGCTTTAGAAAATTAAATACAAGTCATATTTTCCTGGGTAGCTTTTATTTTTGACATTAAACTCTAATTTAGTATCAAGTAACATAGTGGACATATTTTCTTGGTTATCCTTAGCATACAAAAAGTACTTAGCCAAGTCTAATGGGACAAAACAAAGCTGTCCAAGTCAGAATACAGCTATTTGTATTTTTTAGTCTTTCTATTGTTATCAAGGGTCCTTTAATAATGGCCCCATCGTGGTTAATTGGTACCCTCTGGTGGCCACTTGTGTTAACTACAGCGAAGTGAGAAATGGAACTCACTGGGAAGAGAAGTAGCTGAAAATATTCTCACATTATAAGTCTTGAAGGACCTAAAGTATGTATGTTTTATTTGAATAATGTTACAATTTTTTGGGCCAAATAAAATTTATGAATGCAATGTTGAGAATCGTGGTGCAGAGATACTATTGCTCTCAGGTTAGTAATTTCATTAAATATTATGTTGCAGTTTAGCATAGAAACTCTTTGAGTACCTGCTTGGCTCCAGTTAATTGTATCTATAGGAGCAGTTTCACTACATTTTGGTTTCAGAAATGTTGCCTTATAGGTGAAACGTGTTGGAGGAAACAGCAGCATTTTCTGTCCACTATTCTGAAGCTGATTTTGAAAAATAGCATATAATACGTATGGTATTCTGTAATTATTGCATTTGTATTGCTTTTTCCTAATTGAATAAGGAATACTGTAGTGATTAATCTTTTGTTTATGTCTTTAATGATAGAATAATGACAAATGTGTATATGTGCTGATTTACTCAACTCCTTGTCTTCGATGTCAGTGAGCACAGAGTGGTGATGGCACATGTCTAGAATAGGGCAGAGATATTTGGACATGTATCTGAACCGTTGTTTTGTGTACTTGATTTGTGACTGCCATGCATTGCTTGGATTCTCTCTTTAGGGGTCCTTGAGATGTCTGTGGAGGTCATTAGAAGAGGTGCATGCTACAGAGTTCTTTTTGTATCATTTAAATTGTATCTTTGGTAGCTGATGGTCTATTTGGAGTTCTTTTCTTTTGATATTTGCTTCAGACTGGAATTTGTTTAAGGCTTAATCATGGCAGAGAGAGAAAATTCTAGTGTTTTCTAGAGTCTATCATCTGTGAGTTCTGAAGATATTCTAATTGCCTCTGGAAGTCATGATACTGGCAGCAGCTAGAAATTTTCATTTCTTTAATGGAGGGGGAGGCAATTCTTTAAACAATATAGAACCGATAAATTAATATGCATCTTCATTGACATGTACATGAAGGGAAAAATTGATAATGTATTTGATCCTGTTGCAGCTGGAAAAGACAAGGAAGATGAATCTATTTGTTTTTTAATACTCAGATTACATATGCTTTGGAGTAAAGTCTTCTAGGGAATTTAAAAAATGGTGGTGTACCTTCCTTCCAGATTATGCTCAAGAGATTAATGACTCGTATCTTAAACCAGAGATATAAAAATTAACTTTAAAGAAAAGCATTTGAAAGGAGCTATAATATGAAAATTCTGACACTTCTTAGTGTTTAAAGGGTTGAGTTTTAGATTTCTAAATGCACAGATCTCAAATATCTTTTTTCTTTTCTTCTTTTTTGGAGGTCTTCAGAAAACGGGACAAAGGACTGGATGGCATGCAGAGCAAAGATTGCTATATCAGGTAAGAGGCCAGGTAGTCACTTAATTAAAGAAGCTAATTAGCTGGACAGTATCTTGTAATACAAATTATATAAAAAAGGTTATATTTTTAAAGTGTGTATGTGGTTCAGAGGCATCAATCCTCTAATGCTGCAAGGGGACTTGTGCTTAAGTTACATGTGGGCTTTTGAAGATCCTACCTTCTATTTCCATTTTACTCACAGGACATTCCACAGAGGGAAATACTTGTTTTCTGTTTGCCACTAAACACTGAATGCATTTCAAAGCTAAATAAGTGTGAGTATGCTGAGAACTTCTTTTCTCCCCACAACAGCAGACTTTGAAGTGATAGTACATGGCATGGCTAAAAAATTGAGAGCAGAATTATAAGTAATATGCAAATGTTATTTAGGCAATGCAGGTTACATTACTGCAGCAAAGGTATAGTGGCACAACTTCAGTGCAGGCTAGTAACAATGATGTTTAACAGCAATTCCTGGTGGGCTGTTTTCAAGCCTGTTCTCGAACTTCAGCACTGTTTATTTATTGTTTTGTTTGCCTGTGACAGTAGCTACTACATTCAGCAGTCCTGTGGCTGTTCTGCCAGCTTTTCCCTGACATGCTTCATTAAGAATAAAATCATGTAGAACAGCTCACTACTGAAACTGTTTCAGTTAATTTTGCATATTTTAATATATCTTTAAGCGAGGTAACTTCTAGTAGAAGAGTAATGAGCACATGGTTCAATAATGTTTTTTGCCAGCACAGCTGTTTGCAGAATGTGTATCTGTCTTTTCTCCTTATGGTAGTTGGATGAAAGCATCTGTTTGCCTGTCTGTGCTGTGGTTGCACCTTTCTTCAAATCTGGAGAGCTATCTGCAGTGAAGACTTTAAGGTCATATAATACACTATCTTTAGAAAATCAGAATTTTTCAAGAACTCTGTTTTTAGTATGAAAATCTTGCTCAGGATATGAAAGATTTAGCTTGTTTCTTTTGATGGAATAAGACCATGGAAGGGTGAAATACACCACCTTGTATCTGGTGCCATCTGTTAATGATTCTACCCTGTTACCAACACAATAGTTCTCAAAACTGGAGGTTATGTCCTTAGAAATGTGGCACAGATCGAGGTGAACAGGAGGAAGAATCAACTGCCTTACTGTGCAGTCCAGCCTGGGAGTGCTGGGTGCCGCCATGCCTGGCCCCTCTTCAGAAACTTGTTTCAGGAAGCCTGGCCAGGTCCAGTTTACAGCAGAAAAGCTTAAATGTAGGTTTTGGTCTTTGCTGGTTTATTCTTTCTATAGGTCACCTGTTCTTACTTCCTGATATTCTACCCTCATTAATCCATCCACTTATAAATTTATTAGCATGCCATATAGTTAGTATATGCCAGATGACAATTACCAAAAAAGAGGGCAATCGTGGCCAGCTGCAAAAGTTCAGGAGGAGCTATGCAGGACTACTGAGGAATATGCTCCTAAAGAAAGCAGCTATGTCAGATACTGTGTGGGAAGTGCATTCCTTAGTCCACAGTTTTTCGCACTTCTATAATTTTTACTTATCCCCCATATTTTTGAATAAATTATATAATTTATGCTGTTGTACCAATTGATTTTTTTGTCAGAAGATAATATATCAAATGTTGATCAAAAGTCATGAGCATAATTAAAGTAATTTTATCAAGGAATCATTTGGTTTAAATTTGATTAATTGTAGTATTTCAATGTATCCAGTTTGCATCCATAGATTTACAGCTAATGGTAACTGAAATTAAGGTGTGTAAAAATTGATCTTTGGTTTTGATAAATGACAGCTCTTTCAGTCCAAGAATGAATTGAAAGCTGTTTTACAAGTATCATTTCAAACTTGTTCCAGGATTGATTATCTATACCCTGATGATTTGCTGACCAAGGTGTAAATTTTTCAGGTAGGAAGATATTGAAAGTGGCATACAGGAGTAATCTTTAATGTAGTACTCTAATTGCTAACAAGGTCTATTGAGCACATTAAAATTGTCATTCATTTTGCTATGATTAAAGATAGAAAAAGCTTTTATTTGTAACTGTTTTCATGTATGAATGTAGATTTGAGACCTTTGTATTTTAGGGAAGAAATGTTCTGTGCTTTGCCTCTGACAAAGATATATATATATATAAGTTTGAGAGAGACTTCTGTAATGATTTTAATGAAACTATTTCTCTTTATGTAAAACCCCCTATTTTTAGAAATGCTTGCTATGGAAATGCATCTTTAGAAGTGAAAGGCAGTTTCAGAACATGGTGATGTATTTTTTTTTGTAAGTTAGAAGCCTAAAGCTCTATGCTGGCAGTTCACTTGAGAGTTCATTTGTTTTCATGAACACTTAAAAATAGATTAATTTGAAAGTTTCAATATTGAAATAGCTTTTATAATAAGATGTCTCATAATAAAAGTTAACTGAAATTTGAATTTTTCGTTTAACTTCTGAGACAGAGTGACTACATGTGATTTCACTTAAATCAGCAAGTTTTGTGGGTAAACACCTGTAGGAATACGTGACAAAATGATGCCAAAATACTGGCACCATTTTGCATCTCAGCATAATCAATGTGGATTTTTCCATCAGCCTCATACGGAGACAACAGTGCAGTCAGCAATACTTTATAACAGTATTGAAGATTTTTGTCACAAGACAACCGAGCTTATGCTGTTTGCTGCTGCCATCGTGTGTCACTTAATATATTGCATATACTTTTAAACAGAACAGCACCCTTGTACATCAGAAACCAGGTTTAGATTTATAATGCCCTCACAACATTTTATTTTAAGAGACACAAATAAAAACCATTATGTCTTAACCTGAGTCCTTGAAGCTGGAGGAAAATGCAATTTAGTGTTATGTTGAGTTTAATAGATAAATTGGAAAATTTAGTGAAGAAAATACTTTCCTAATGTGAAAATGACAGGCATGATTTAAAATAATGGTTTTGTAATTGCCTCTCTACTATTGTCCTGAACTAGAAGGATATTTTTGGGTTAAAAGAAAAAAGATTTCTAAACTCTTCTTGTGCTAAGACAAGGCTAACTGGGAATGTGATTACAAGTGGTATTTTTCTGTGCATAGCAAAACAAGACTGAACTGTTTGCAGTATAAGTATCCCAGTCTTTTCATTAAAACAGGAAGGTTTTCCTCTTGCAGTGGGATGAGTGGTTTTCAGCACAAGGCAAGCAGGATTTTGGTTTACATCTGTGCATAATAATGGGCTCAGAGAATACCTCTCAGAACTGCTACACAGCTTCTCTGAAATGTTATTTCAGGTACTTTCAAGTGAGATTTAAAATATTCTTTATTCTAGCATAATTTCTAAACAGAAATGACACTTCAAGTTGAACTAATTATTGCATTTTCGTTTGATGTGGATCATAAACTTGGAATAGTTATGCTGTTCTTTGGGAGAAAGGTCCTGTTACCACCAGAACATCAGAAAAAGAAACAGAACACTTTTTGTAATTTGTTTTGATTACAGATCTACAATATTGACTATAACTAATCTCCCTTCCTTCTTTTTTCTACCTTTAGATGTTCGAATACCATTAATGTGGAAACGCTCTGACCACTTCAGCAAAAAAGAAAGTATGTAGGATGTAATGAATTACTCTGATAAACAATTGCTTATGTCTGTAAATTTAAACTGAATGAGGAAGTTCATACTCATTTCAGCCCCTTTTTTCACCTTTTATTAAGTCCATATTTTACTCTTTGTTGTGTAAATGCTTGTAATTTGAAGTTGCTGGTTGAAGCAAGCTGAGTTAGTTCAAAGTCCTGTGGTTCTCTTTAAACCCTACTCTCTAAAGAGTCTGCCTGAGGAAGAATTCCAGAGTAAGCAACAGAAAAATGTTGTATTAAATAGTTAACTAAGAAACTTCTGATTAAACACGTTCTATGTCTTGTCTGCACTTGAGAGAGTACAATGGAGGCTGTTTCCAAGAGAAATGTAAATGCAAGTTGACGGCTGGTGTTGAGGGTATTATTGGATAGCCTTCAAGTACATGCATTTTGCTGTGTCATGGAGATTAATCCTAAATCTGTTCCAGCTGTCACCTGGAATTGATTTCACTTTGATTTTCAGTAGGGTCAGAGATGCAAAGCATGGCAAAATAGTCTAATCCTATGTAAGACATTCATAAAATGATACAGACTTTGGATCATTTTTTTTTTTGTAAAGCCAGTTTTACTAAACAAAATTACATTTTTACTAATGTTTTTGAACACTGTACCTGATTACTCAACTTTTTCTTTTTCTCCTAATAGAAGTAAGCATTTTTTCCCTTTGTATATATTGTATGCCTTTACAGCAGCTTTGATAGGTCAATTATCATAAAATCCTATGATGAAAGTTTCTGGTGGGAAGAATTTGAGGGCAATTCCTTAGAGGTCTGAATTACTTTTTTATATAGTTTTGTTTACTGGCAGTGTTTAGTATAGTGATGTGCAGTGTGGCTTATAAAAGCTTTCTTGACTCTCTCCAGAATCACAGCGCTATGCAGTGTTTTGTTTATTCAGAATGGGGGCTGAGGTTTTTGATACTGAAGTGACTATTGTGGATGAAGCAATAACAGATATCTGTTTTGAAAATGTTACCATATTGTGAGTATAATTTAATTCTGTTGAATGGAGTACAAATATTGCTGTTTTATTTTGCAGGTGGATGTGATAATGAATAAGATTGGCTGAGGTCCACTAGGTTTTGCTGTGGGCAAAACTGTTCATTTTAGTGGGTGGAGGATCCCCATCTTTGAAAACCTGTTTTTTGTGTACAAAATGATGCTGGTTGCAGATATGCTAGTTAATCTGTATTTCTTTTCATTTTTGTCCTGCTAAACATTTTTCTTTATATAAAGAGATAAACAAACTTATATCTCAAGGACAGCATTAAATTAATGCTAAAAACCTGAAAGCATTATGATAATATAGGTGTAAGTGTTGCATTCAGTGTTGCATTGTTATCCTGTCCAGCAAGTTACAGTCTCTTTCCTCATGTAACGCCTCATGTCTGTTACACCTACCTGAGTATGTGCTTGACTCCAGTCCCCCTACCTTTATCTTTTATATCAACAATTTAGAGTCTATCTCCTGAGAAAGACTGGAAAACTAGAACTACCAAAAACTTTAAATCAAGATCCTGAAAACTGAGTTTAAATCAAATTTTAAATTTTCTTAAACCCCCAGTCAAGTTAAGAGTGGGGACAAAGGTTTAAATCTGCTTCTTCAAAGTTGAGACTTGACCATTATGATTTTCTGTGAAACACTGCAGCAAAAGGAGAAAAAACACCCTAACTTGCCTTGTACCCCACAAGACATAGAAAGAATTGATATAAAAGCTTTTAGATTTATTTTATTATGGTATGTGTGGAATGACATGATTGTTATCTGAAAGATGAGGTTAGGCTTCTGGCTTGATGACTAAGCTTGAGAACAAGAGGATCAGTAGAACTGGAAACTGAGAAAGGCTTTGGGACAGAGGATGCAGCAGTAGGTAGTTAAATTGTAAATAACAGATTTTATTAGATAGCATTTTTTTCCAGTAATTTGACGGGGATAGAGTGCAGCTAAGATAACTTTAAAACAGTTAAATCTGATTTAGGACCATAGGCAGAGGTAGGTTTTCAATCATGTGATTTCTGTGAAACAGTAGAGGGCAGATTTAAGTATGTTTGAATGTCTTGACTGTGTATTTCCATAACATCAGTGTTTTCTTCTGTTTTTAACCTAAAAGTTGAATTTCCTGTTTGTAATTGTTTATGGTGCAATCATCCATCTCATGACCCAAATGCTAAGTTACTGTTGTGTACTCTAGTCCTTAATTCCATATTAATGTATATCTGCACCTAAATTTTATGGCATTGCTTCCCTTGATTAGAAATATATGATTTAATCTATAAAGTAGCAGCAGCATTCCTTGGCTCTCTGTTAACAAACACTCTGAAATTTTCTCCTCTCCCACTTCAGTGATGAAGCAAGCCCAGATTTCCAGGTGAAGGTTGAAGTATATAGCTGCTGTATAGAGGAGTCTTTATATATAACAAGCACTCCTAAGAAACTGGCAAAGAAACTTAAAATGTCCCTCAGCAAAGCTACTGGGAAGAAACTCAAAGCTGCACTGGAGGAAGACATCACTGAACCCCTTTTGCCTGCTGACCCAGTCGTTCAGTAAGCCATGTATATTGATGTTCTGGTTTTATAGTTTTTAAAATAGAAATAGGGAAAATATAATTGTAATTTTTTGGAAAACTGTCAAGAAACTGTTTTTTTCTCCACTTCCACAAGTGAAAAAAATTTACATTTAAAATAGGAAATGGGAAAGTAAGTGTGAATTCCAGCCATGTCACTGAGCCTTGGGGCCTGGTTCTGATCTTGAAACACACAAGCAGCCTTTATCTTTGTGCTCCACAACCATCCAGCTGGTAAATCCACTGTTCTTTGCAAACATTGATCTCTAGAGGAAGTTGAACATGTACAGTCTGTCTGTGTCTCTCTGTCCATCTACGTCTCCTCCTTCTGTGTTTACTTCCTCCCCCATACTATTTTTGCACCTAGCCAGTATTGCTCATACTTGACAGGTAGATATGTGTAAAAGTTACAAGTTGTGTGGAATAGGAAAAGGTGTTTATGTAGGCAGGAGAAACCACTTCTGTACCCTCTTCCCTGATTCCACTTGCCAGCTTTTCAGTAAAACTCTGCACTGCCAAAGGCACTTTATGGTTACAGACTACCTAACAGGAGATTTCTGAATTGACTTTAGCACAGAACATTTTAAAATGAGTTAACTGTTTTTCAGAGTTCATAGGCATAAGGGGTTTTCCCAATAATCTACCTGTTTCCTTTTAAAAATTAACTGCCTACTAATATTTTCCAGCTACTTTAATTTCACTGGGATTTAAGCAGGCCAAATACCTAATTTGCAAATATTAATAGCATTGGTTTGTTTTATTTATTTAGTTTTTTTTAGAAAGCAGTTTTTTCAAGGAATTCCCTTTTTTTGGCAGCTGACAGTAAGGAATCAATGCTTAATTCTTCCTAGGTGTTTAGTGTAGTATTAGTCTAGCTTCATATATCTATTTGCTGGGATTTTAAAAGGAAACATTCAAGCATATTCTATCTTTGTTGAACTGATATAACTATAAACTGATCTTACTGTTTGACTCAAAAATAGACATCCACAAGAGATAAGAGATCTTATCCACAGAGCAAAACAAATTTTATCACTAACTTTCCAGTGGATTCTAATGGCAATGTATTTTTCAATCTGCATCATGTCAGGTGTCTGTGCTTTCCACCAGCTTCAGCTGGTGATGAGACACTCTCATTAGACACAGAATCAGACATAACCACTGGCTTCGATATAGATTGCTTGTCTTTTAAGGAGGAAGCACCAGTAGGCAATTTAAACAGCTGCTTTCTTCCCTGGGTTTTGCTTTTTTGTTTCTCAATTGAATTTTCCTTGCCTCCATCTTGGAAGTTTATTGTTTCTACTGTAGATAATCATCTCACAGTGACTACTACTTTCTTAACACAATTAAATGAACAATTAAGTGTTAAATGAGTGTTAAATAATGTAAAGGCATTGCTGTGTGATTAAAATAGTTGTTTGGAAATAAATGGGTTATTATAGGCAGAAAATAAGTTGTCAATTTTTTTTATAGGTTCCCCCTAGGGAATATTAGGTTTAATATCTATATTAGACCTTGATATGTAGCCCTTATTAAAGGGAAGAGACTACAAGATTACAAGAGATCTTTCAAGTATTCCCAGAGTTTTATCAGTCCAGCAGGGGAAATTAAACTGCAACAAAAAAAGTGAACTTTCCATGTTATGTGAATACCTTTTCTCTTTAGATTTCATTTGTACAAGCCTTTTTCTTTTCAGTGCACACATGAGTGAAATTGTCCATTTTCCAAAAACTCTGTGATCCCTCTGTTTCAAACTTTTTGGCTTAGAAATCTCTCTGGTTAGTGAGGAAACTGTCAGACTTGAAACTTCTTGAAAAGGTTTAGTGACAAAGGGCTTGATTTGTTGCTTAAGTTGGTTAATTTGAAATATACTGATATTCTCTCTTAATTATCCCTAATTTAGTTTCTAAACAGTATTTTGCCTGCTTAGTTTTTCCATTCTAACTTAAATATTATTTTTTTCTTTCTTACATTTTTCATAGAAGAAAAATTTTCACTACAGTTTTACTAATAAATTCCAGTGTAACCAGATTGCTCTTTGGATAAATCACTGTAGAATCTCCCTCAAGTGCCTATTTACCATTTGCAGAACTGGCTTACACATGCACTGGTTGTTGTTTGATGTTTGTCCTCCTCTGGGCTGAAGGTGCAGCAGCTTCCATGTCCTATGTTTGATGTGGCAAATCCCTAGTGATATTTTGGTGGAAGTCCACAGTTAATCTGGTGGGCCTCACTTTTATGGCTGGGTCCTTGTTAGCGCCCAAAGATTATATTGCATTTTACTGTCTATTATTTAAGATGTGATTGAAAGGTGAGCATATCAATTTTTTTTTTTCCATTAAATCTGAAAAATAACTGTAAATTAAACTTTCCTAAATTATGTTGCAGCTGCCTGAAAAGAATGACTTGTATTTTAGAATGAAAATGTTACTGTAAAGCATATTTTGAAAGTGAAGTAGCTATTTTTTTTTGGCAAGGTTGTTGTTGTAATTAGTCATACTTTTGAAAAAAAAAAGCAACTTTTAAATCAGCACAGAAGTTTAATCTGTGAGAAGAAACTGAACTTTATGGTACAGTTTAAATAGAATGGTAATTCATTGCTCAGCTGCATGGTCAAACATCAATGGATAATCTTTTGTTAGGGAACAGTTTAGAGAATACATACAAATGCTGTTGAGTTTTTGTTCAGATGGCCCTCTTGAAACGCTTCACAGAAGTGGTTTTCCACCCAGGATGCTATATTGTATTTGATTTTCTCTTTGTACCTTGGAGACAGGTATGTAATAGATCTCCTCTTTAACAACCTTCATATTTTTCTTCTCTTTTGTTAGGGTTAGGGGGAGATAGACGCTCTACTTGTTTAACTGCAGAGCCAAAGGTCTGAAAATTGTATGTTCCCACTGTACTAGTGAGAAAAATAAAATTTGAAAAATACTAAGATGGAAAACTATTCTTGGTGATCTTAGTTCAATAGTGTCTTCTCAACTTTTACACCACTAAGCTTTCTTATGTTCTCCTGAAGATATTTTAAGGATCTTGTGGTAGATCCTGTTGGGGAGAGCAGTTAGTGATTTGGAACCTGTGAACTTTGTTCTAACTGCTGTTAGCCAGGTGGGATTATTACTGCATTGCTGGACTGTAAATCTGTTACTTGGTCTGATGAGTATTTTAAAGAAAAGGTTAAATGTACTGAATTTATACCAGTTTATTCCAAGAATTGCACTCCACAATTGCACTGTGCTGAATTTTAAGAGCAGTACTTTTTTTTTCCCCTAGGCAAAGTACAAAACTAAGATAAAAGATTCTGAAACCTGTAAGTCCAAGTGAAAAAAAATCCTTTCTGCTACAAAACTGACCATAGGATTTTTGTACAGATTTCTGCCTGTGAATCATCAATCTATTGGATCCTATTAAAAATGCATATCTAAACAGCTGGCTTATAAATTCTAGTCTGCATAGGCAAAGCAAAGAGTGGAGCAACATGGAGAAGCAGTATAATGCCTTTTAATTTTTAACCTGTATTTTCAGATAAAGTTTGTCAGCAGTTTTCTATTAACTTTAAGAATTTTTGAACCTATTACCAAATCTAATTGCTTTAGGCCTAGGAATAAAAGCTGTAAAACTATTGAAAGTTACTTGGTGTCTTGACTAGAGGAGGATGCTTTGAGCATCCACAGGTTGCAGAGTGTTTGGGTAGCACAGCCTTAATGCCTGTGTTTGGCTGCTGCTGGCTCTTCAGGAAACACAAAGCAGTGACCACATGAGAAGTCTCCTGGCCCGCAGGTCCCAGAAAGCAACAGAAAGAGTTGTAATGAATGATGACATTGGTCTGGAAGTTGTGGGGTGGAAGGAACTGGAGGTACACACATGGAGACGGGAGACAAGGATCTAGGAAGATGAACAGACCATGGAACATGTGTTTGTTTACAAGAAGAACCAGAGATACAGGACTTGTGTGGGAAGAGGTTGGAGATGACCATCTGTGGTCACTGACAGTTTCTGCTGTGCACTTTGATGTTTCCTTCTACCCAAATGTGGTCTCTCAAGTGTGTCTAGACTCCCTTTAATTACTGCTTGAGCAATGTGAAGCAGAAATTTACCTTTTCTTTCACATTTAGTGGAGCAAAGTACAGTTTGCTAGCATCCACCACTTTGGGGCTGGAAAGTGCTGAGGACAATTTCAGGACCCACAGCCTTACCATTACAGGAAATGGTAAGTACATATGGTATCAATTTAAGGAAATTAAAATCCAGTAATGATTTGCATGAAACTCTTGTAAACTAAAGATCCTAAAGAGGTTATTTTTCTTGATACTCAATATAGAGCAACTTTAATAAAACATTTAATGGCTCTAAACCAGGCATCTGTACACAGCTGAGTAAACCTTAAGTTGAGTAAAATTTCAATCCAGATGAAAATTTTATTATTTTGGGAGTTTTTCTGTCATTTGCATCTCCATCTTATGTGAGTTGTAGTTATATACAGATTATTTCCCCTTCCTCACAACCAAGGAAGAATATCAAAAGGAACAACAGCTTGTTCCTCTGTAGTCATAAGGAAAGAAGAAAAATTGTTTTGGTTTGGCGATGTTGTTTGAGGCCCAGATTTAACACGGGATGTAAGTGTATATGCTTTCAGTCTGTGCTGGCTGCTCCTTCAGCTCTGGGGCAGCACAAGTTGGGAGCAGTCAGCCTGGATGCTGACGCTGTAGGGGACTGATTATACTGCAACTGATGGTGGTATTCACTTTTTGGTACTTTGTCCATTATTTTCTGCAAGGATAGCTACTCCCATAAGCCATCCTCCAATTGTTAGCTTAAGGCATGGGACTTTCACTGTTGCTTCTGGGAACTTAAATAATTTACTGGGATAAACTTGACCTCAAAGGGAGTTCCCTTCTTTATGTTTCAGTAATTCTGAATAAATATAAATTTGAAGATTTATGGCGCATTAATTTCTTGAAGTGTTGGCTGAATAATTCTGAGTACCCTTGATATTTGTGAGCCTTTCTTTATTAGTACTTCTTATCCTTTCTTCTTGAAGTTCCTTTTTCTGACATTAATTTACATAATTTAGTCTGGTGAGAAAGGACATACATGGATATTATTCTAAAGCATTTCTAAACCTTGACCAAAGACAGAGTCACATTAATGGAACATTGCATTACCTACTTCTAATTACAGAAGAGAGAGCCTATTGCATAGCAGAGCTGAGCGATTCCAATTCATTAGAAACTCCTTGGAACCCTAAATGCTCTTCTAGTGCTGAAGGCAAAAGTAGATACAAATTCCAAGGCTTAATAAAACAATCCGAAGCAAAGTGCTCATGTATGAATGGAACTGTGTGCAACAATGGAATGGGCTCAGGGATCATACTAGATGAGAGTGCCAGTGTACTTACCTTTCAGTTTCTAGCTCTGGAATGAGCTACATTTTATGTAAGAGCAACTCTTTTTAGCAGAACACTATTGCTATTTTTACTTGAAATTATTTTGGAATTTACTAATTTTTTTCAATTAAAAAACACTTCCTGAAGACTAAAAATAATTTCTAATCTAATCCTACAGGATTAAATGTATTTTTTTAAAATATGAAAATATGCTTATTTACACTCATGATCTTAATGCAAAAACAGATGTAGAAAGCTAAAACTATATGTTTAGGGCAATTGTTCAGAACTGAGTGTTTGTCTGTCTTTTGCCTTTTTCTTTCCCCCAGAGGAATCCTCTTTTTGGCTACCCCTGTATGGAAACATGTGTTGCCGTTTAGTTGTCCAGCCCTCCTGCATGGCCAAGGATATGATGGCAGGATTTCTAAATCAGCAGGTAAGAAGACCTTGCTTGTATTTGCATCCTGGGCTGTTAATTGTTGTCATTAAGTCAATTGTTAAAACATTTGCTTTTACCTGAAGTGGTGTACTGAGAATTGTTTTTTACCTATTCTACCTAGAGCAAGGGGGAAACTCTCTCACAGCTATATTCACAAAAGGTGCCTTCAGTGGCTGAGCATGGAGAAATCAATGTTTCCTTGGAATGAATGATGTAGGCTGTTAGTAAAGGTCAAGTAAAACTCTTGTTTCAGAGTTGGTTTGCAGTGGTATTTGATGGCATCAGTCCTAATAATCCTGTGGCTCTCATCTTTGTATGTACCCCTTGTTGTGCTGACACAAGAGTTCCTATCACAGCATGGCGAATCAGGCTGGTGAACTGAGCCATATTTAAAGTCATCCCTTCAGAAATGGTTCATGTGAACTCTCTTCTCTATGTTGGTTTGTTGCACAACTTGGCATATGAGAAGGTGATAGTGGAGGGCCAGAGGGTCTGGGTCATTTGTCAGGAGTGCTGAATTACAGGCTTTAAACTGGTTGTGAAACTGTTATGGTTTTATGAAAGCTGTTCAGAAAATTCATTTGAGAAAATGGAAATTCTCAACAATTGTCTTTGCTTAACATTTGTTGAATGTACTGTGTATTTCCAAAGTGAAACACTCTTTTTATTACTGTGCAATTGCTGTAGGTAATAAAGGTGCTTTTTTTACTGTAGACACCAGATCGAAATTTCATTCTGTGTGAACCAGCAGATTCTGTACTGTTAGTGTCACATGGCAAGTCTGCAAAAACTGCAAAACACCAGAAGACATTTAAAGTACTGAGAACATTTCAGGAATCAATGACTGAAATGTTCTGTAACAGGAGGTCTTTGTTGTAGGAATGAATTTGGTGTGGCTAAGTTTTGATCACTCAGGGCTGATATGTGTATACCTTGCAATATGATTTTGTTTTAGGTTTATGTTTGGCAATTTCTGACTACTTCTTCCCTTTAGCAAATGGTAGGAGGTGTAAGGAGCTGGAGGAGGCTGTATTGCATACTGAGAGGTGGAAAACTCCTTTGTTATTACTCACCAGAAGAAGCTGAGGCTAAAGTGGAGCCAGCACTGACAGTTTCCATCAACAAGGTAAAATTGGTTGTATGGGGATTTTTGTTGGGGTATTCAAATTTGTTTTATTATTTTGGGGGATGTTCTTTTTGGTTTAAGAAATATATGCAGTCATTAGGGCTCTAAGCTGCTGGTATGCAGAGTGCTTTATGGGTAGAATAAGGTAAAATAAGGGTGGGATGTACTTCAGTGAAATTTGCAGTCCCCCAGCAGGAACTGGATAATATTCCTTAGATGTGGATGTAAATTCCTTCTATTGCAAAAAGAAGGGTATTTTTCTATAGGAAAAGTAATAACCTTTTATATGACAGTTCTATAAGACAGCCCTTGGGAATGTATTGCTTTAAGTCCACTAGCAATGCTCTGGTAGACTTTTGTCCTCAGCAAGGTGGAATTCCAACAAATGTTTTTTTGTTTTAATATGTTATTTGGCTACAGTCTTAATTAGAAGGAGAAATGGAAAATTTTTCAAAATATTTTAGTACCTTAAAATAAGCTGCTTTTCATAATGCTGGTTTTGTCCAGAGCACAATAACTTTGGAAGCTCTGTTGTCTAGGATTACATTATTGTTGTTGTTCATGCCTGAGTTTAAAATGTAAATTTAAAATGTTGCTTACTATTTGGCCAAAGAAACAGTAATTAATCTGAAGTAATTAAATTAGCAGTGTTATTGGAAGGACCTTCTAGAATGGCAAACATTAGAGAGAACAAATGCTTTCAAAAACTGGTTTTGGTGTAGGCTTAATATCCTATAAGGGTTAATATCCTATAAGGATGGGCAGAAGAATTAAATGTTATTTGCTATCACCATAGCTGGGTTCATCTTACATAAGTAAATAGACACATTTGGAAGCTGTGTTAAGCACAGGCCACTCTGGATTCTGCTGCTGTGCTGCTGTGAGCTCTCAGTGCCAACACCAATTCTGAGAAGCATTCCGGGGCCCAGCCGCTTGTTCAGCTGCTGCACCGTGTCATGCCAGGCAGGCACAGGGCAACTTATGGGAGTTAAAGTTAGGTCATCTGGGGGGCAAGAGGAGTCTTGGCTTCAACTGTGTTTCCCTTTAATCAATTCTCTTACCCAGCTCATTACATGGCTGCACAAATGCTTGTTTGGTATAGGCTATGATTTGGAACATGTGGGGGCATGGGGTGAAAAAGAATGCTTCTTACAGCAGGAGAATCAGCTTTTGGTGGCTTGAGTGTTCCTGGGAGAGATTACTACATTCTCATTCAGACTGAGACTGCAGTAGAACTCAAACATTTAAATGGGTCATAAAAATGTGACCTGTTGGTGTTAGGATGTCTTTTTTAATTGCTAGGATTTAAACTGATTTCTTAAATAAAATCACCTTTTTTTCTTGTGCTATTTTTTCTTCCAACTGTTCATACATTTACATTAAATAAATATTTATACTGTGATACATATTTAAGTAGGTTTACTTCTTTAGTCACTTTCAATTTCACGAGTCAGCCTCTGCTATAATTCTGTTTTTCAGCTGTTCACAGTATCAGTTAAGAAATGGTAAGCTTTAGTAAATTATAGAATGACAAAATCATTCTAAAACATGACAGGAATATTTTTTTTTTTAATTATCTGTCAGGCTGGCTCTTATCTTTCCTTGGACTTCTCTGTTTAAGTCTAAACCCTAATATTGCTTTTCATTTTAAAATAACCATATTGTGCTAAGGTATTTTGCTCCTATGAGTAACCAATGCATTTAGAACCTAAAATCTAGCTTGATAAGTCTTTGCTAAGAGACTGTCCTTACGTTTGCAGAGTATCCTTAAAGCTAACATGTAAAAGGTACATGATTTGGGTATCTTAAACCATTTTACAAAAATGTCAGGCTGATGGAGAATGACTGTAAATCCTTCTTCAACTGAAGTTAAAACAAGAAAAAAAATACAATTGAAAACATATTTGGATCCTTTACTACTTAAACAATTTCTCTTGAAAATAACTTAATGCCTGCAGATATTTTTTTATTCTTTTGTTATGAAAATTCTCTTACGGATTAAATGAAAGCAGACTAATCATATGGGCTTGTCTGCTACATGTTGTTATAGAAACAGCAATTTCGAAGTGAAAGTTGAGATTGAGCATCAACTCTAGACATTCTAACTAAAATCTCTTTGGGTTGCATATGTGGCATTTTCATTCGTAACGTGAAGCCAATCCTTTACATGTAATTTAAAGATACTCTCTGAGAAGTAATGAAATCATTTGGATTTATGAGAAATTTTCTGGAAAATGTTCACACTGATAGGTGTATTTCCCACTCTCTTTGAACTGAGACTTGAAGAAGCCATTAAGACCAGTAAAGTCATTACTTCAACTTTAGATGACTTCACTCCTACTGCTGTTGAGAAAGAATGCAGCTCCTATTATGCAGGTGCTACTGTTATTCTGTTATTATGTTATTATACTGTTATTATGTTCCAGCTAAATGTGATTATAACATATTATATTGCACAACTAAGTAGGAAAAGAGAAATTATATTTTCTGTAGCAAAGAAAATTTAGTGGAATCCAATTTGAAGAAATATCCTTTATGGGCCAGTTCCTGCTCTTTTTTCAAGTTTTTTTTAGTTTGAAATGAAAAATAAAGGCCTTGCCTACACACAAAAACTTAGCATATTGGTGCATGTGCCCGCAGTTCACATTAGTTGCTCAGTGGTTGGAATACATAATCTACTGTGTTTGGTTCATAGATTATAAAACTTTTTTTGTGCCATGGGTGTCTGAAGCTTAAGGAATTCTGGGATCTTGCTTCGAATTACTGTAGTCCCATGATTTTCTTCCTGGCATATTTTGTCCAGGCAGTCTTTGTCCCGTGGCCCTGCAGTCAGTAGGCCCAGGCTCTTTCTGTGTTCATGCTGATCCCTGAGGGGAGCAGGGTGAGGGGCAAGTGTTTGTAGCCACAGGCTCAGGGTTCAAGGGAGCACTGCTGACCAGTGCAGCAGGAGCAGAGGGCCAAAATAAATCTGGAATTAACTTGAATGACAGTCCTTGGCAGTACAGCTGTTCTGTCTAGGTCAGCTACAGGACTTTGTTGGAAAATGTGGCAATGGTTGCAGCAGAACAACTTCAAGGGAACCGTGCTATTTCTAGGGAACCAGGGAGTTCATCCTTGGGCTGGTGCAGAGGAATATGGATGTCAGTTCTGGACTGTGTGAGCTTTTAGGGAGCCAGCAACATGAGCAATAATCACTGTATGTGTTGTGGAACTCCAGCATGGGGGAACAAGATAAGCCCTGAAAATATCTGTATTCCCTGTAGTAACGACTTTGTCCCACTAGTTGGCTTAGAAAAGCCTTCTAGCTGTGAAAATATATTGAAAAAGTACCTCCAAATGTCTGGTATCTCATATCCCATTGCTCAGTTTAGTCTTGCAGTTGCATGAAAGAAGTGGTAGATGCAGGTGGGGGAAGCAGGTAGAACATCCAGATCCTTGTAGCACACATGCTCAAATTGAGCAGTTTGAAAGCTGCTTTATTGGCCCTCTCATGCTTTACAAAATGCTTACCAGTCATATATTGCTATCTCTTTTTCCATGTTTTCAGCTGCTGTATTGCTCCCAAGATCAATGGCACAGATATCCTAATATTGCTTATCCATGTCATACTCACTCATTGTACTGACCGGCCAGTGCTCATGAGGATGTCACATTAGTACAAGCTCACAAAACACAGAAGGGACAAAAATATTATCTGACAGACTGAATTTGGTCTTCTACATTAATGTGTTTGAAAGCCATAATTTGAAATTTTGCCATTTTTCCTGCTTGCCTAAAACAAACTTCATGGAAATTATTAATATTACAACAGAAACCAATGCATCTACAGATTATACTTGTTTCCAGTGTTGTACTGATTTTCAGTTTGGTTTATTTTTTTGTACTAAAAACATGAAGGGAGCTTGTTATATGTGATTTGATTTGTTTAATCTTAAAAATAGATACACAGAACTGGGTCTCAAGGTTATTCAATATTTTTAAGAACTGTAATTTGTTTTGATGCCTTAAAATGGTCTTTATAACTAGCGCTTCTTAGTGTGTCTGGCTTATCAGGACTGGCTTATCAGGAAAATATTTTACCTCAGCAATAAAAAAAGTTCTATCTCTTGGCTTAAAATATGAGCTTTCCAGAGAGGTATTATCAGGCAAAGAGATTTTATTTGTGGGGAGGAATATTGGGAAAAAATGGGAGAATATTGTGGGGAGAATAAGGTTGGTAGTTACAAATACGATATATTTTTCCCTATTAGTCTTTCCCCATTTTCAAAGAAACAATCTTTTACATAAAGAATATGAAATTGGCTTCAGCTTCCCCAGAGGAGTCACTTGAGTTCAAGATTCAGTTGTTTTCCTATTGCCATCCACCAATTGTTCTGGTTTTTGCAACTGCTACAGCAGAACTGGTTCAGTTTTTTATAAGACAGGGAAAGATATTATTACAACATGGTAATTTAAAACACTTTTTGTTAGGTTTTTTTGAGTGTTTTTTCTGCTTGTTTTTTTTGCTTTATTTTGTTTTTAATGGCTTTTTGTGGATTTGGGTTTTGTTTTATTAAGTGGAACTGGGCATGTCATGTAATTCACCCAAGCCTGACAAATTCATCAGCCCATTGCTGTAATGGTATCTTGTATGACTGCTGAAATATTCAAGCATAAGGTATAGATTATTGCTTGAGGATTTATCTCCTTTGAATAATACCACAGTTGTGGTATTATTATGATGGAGCAATTAAATCATTAAATAAACTTGTGTGTATGGTATGCTTGACGTTCTTACCTGTCAAATGTTAATCTATTTGATTTCATTTTTTTGCTGGTATCTATGGTTACCTGAGTTAATGGGATATAGAGCACTGATGGATGAATTACTTCATCTCCTATTTTTAGACAGAAGAATTTAAATGAGCATATCCATCAGATACACAACAAGCAGTTGTTGGTATTTCAAATGGTTACTTCAGTAATGCATTTAAAATCTGGGGAATGGTCTGTAGAATAACTTCTGTTTTTCTGAGTATCGGAACTAGGCTTATCCCCATAGGATCCCATACATAAGTTTAATTTCTGTAGGTGTATATTTAATGTCTTTAGCAGATGTTTGAAATTTGGTTGAATTGTATAAAAGGGAACTGGTTGTTCTGTCCCCACTGTATTTTGAGGAACCACCTTTGTGGTCATATTCACTGTCTATCCAGACAGATGTTTGAACACTGTCCTGGCTGTGATTGTTGGCTTCCTTCATATCCTGGATACTGCTCATGCCAGGAATACACTTGTGTGGCAGGCGGGCAGTGCATGGTCTTGCTGTGTGTTAGGTGTCCTCATGTCCTTCCAGTCTTCAGAGCTGGCCAGCTGCAGGGAGCTGGCTGGTGCCCTGGCACCAAAACTCATTACTCTGCTCTTCTGGGTATGCCAGAAATCTTCTGAGGAGCAGTGCTGTAATGGGCTGTTGCTTGTTCAGTCAGGTCAAGTTGCATGTTCTAGGACTTCTGCTTTACTTCTGTAAATAAAGCTATGTTAATTTTTTAATTTGCTCATCATGTTGTGATGAGCAGCAATGTTGACCAGTTGTGTTCTGGAACTTTTAGTTGTGTTTTAGCTAGACTTAAAAATTCCAGCATTTTACACACACATACACACACATACACACACACGCACACACATCTCACTGAGTTAGGGATGTGGTTTTTTTTAATTGCAGTAATGCCAGAACAAAGAAAGGAAATAGTCTGGAAATACCACTGGATCTAGTCTAGAGCAATTGAACTATGTCCCTGAACAGGAGAAACCTTGGCTCTAACAGTGCTGCTGTGTAATCTGAGATCTTTTCTAACTCTAGCTGAAGAGATTTTATAGACCTGTTATACTTCTTGGATATATATCTATGCATTAATTATTTCTCTGTAGCTCTCCATAATGAAGTTAAAACTAAAATGCCTGTTTTTAAATGGGAAATAGTTTGGGTTTTTTTCTATTAGAGCAAAATCTTGTTCTAGTAGAACTGTATGGGTTACTACTACAAATGCCCCTTTAAAGATGGCCTAGGTAAGTTTATTTTTGATTTTCCTGTCACTATTGTAATTACCCTGAATGTCCTGATGCACTAAGATGAACATGAAATGGATACAAGTTTACAATGCAGTAGGTAAATAATGGCCCATGGAAGTGCAGTAGGAGGTGTATGTAGTAGCTGTAATAATGTGATTGTCCATCTGAACTATTTGGAAAAAAGGAACTGTTTGCTGTTATTGCAGATTATTCACTAAACTTCTGTGGAGAAGAGGGAGCAGTATGAGATGATCTGGTGAAGATAGAGGAAGAGGGAACATTGAATTACAGTGCATTCTGAGCTGCGATAATTGTGCTTTATTCCCTTATTTTTCACGTTTTATGCCATTTTAATAGTTTTATGAGAAAACATTTTTATAATCACTTGAACTTGTCCACTCATATTTTTTTTTTAATTGGGTATTAATCTGAAGTAGACAAAAAGCAAAATTCTACCTTCCTTGCACTGTCATTGGACATAAGTTGGTGCCAGTGTGAAGCAATAAGTCATTATCACAGTTTATTGTTTGTAGGAAACCAGGATTCAAGCTGTTGATAAGGACTCCAAGAGAAGAGCTAACAACTTCTCTGTTATCAACCCCGTGTCTGGAGAGGGTGTGACGCAGCATTTTGCTACTGACAGTAGGAATGAACTTCACAAATGGATGGAGGCTTTCTGGCAGCACTTTTATGATCTGAGTAAGTAAGCAGCCAGTGCTGGCAGTGTGCCCTCTGAATGGGGTTTATGTAACATCAAAGGCATCTTTGAGCAATTTGAATTGGAATTGCCTCATAAGCCTTTGTTTGCAAGAACGAAAAGAAATATATTTTCTGGGATAATACTGGGTGGTGGTCTAAGTCGTTGGAAGGCAAATATTTGACTAAACCAAAGTCCATGTGTTCTTGCAGGGAACCACAGGCAGAATATGTCCATCAATCTCAAAAAAACTTGTTGTCTTAGCAGTGTTCTAGATAATGTTATTATAGACTGATAAATTCTCACTGTCTCTTCCTCTTTCCCACTGTAATGGGAAGAGTCTACCTCTGCCTGGGCATCCCACCAGTGATGTGTTGGTTTGGTAAGATCCTGTATGAAACCTTAGTATGGAAGTCTTAGTGACAAGTGGTGAGGATGCTGGAATCAAGTGGGGCCTTGGCTAGGATGTGGATTCAGACAGCTCTTAGAAGTAAACTTGGGGTTTCCTTGCTCAGCAGTATTATGGATAAATTAAATTACAATTTGTTATAACAGTGACTGCTTGATTGTGTTGTAGTTCAAAGTTTTTGTTAGCCCTCATCACATGGGAATATGCTCACCCACCCACACTACATCCAGTCAGGCAAATAAGATTCTGCTTACCTGGACCTGGTAAAAGCTGTACCTCAGCCTTTGTAACAGGTGATAAAGTGTTACCCCAATCCTTTGGCAAACCTCTGGAACAACTCTGATCTTACATGGGAGAGGGAACTCATTTATTGGTGTTAGACATTTTTGAAGTAGTGTATTGTGTTCCTTGTCTATCACCAAATCCTTATTATAAAAACCACATAGATTAATTTGCCTGTGTCTTTTTTCTCTGCTTTCTGCTTGAGTCACAGATTTACTGAGAGTAGAGACTGTCAGCTTTTATGCTGCCATTGACAAAGTAGCATTGCTTCCTGATAGGCATTTTTATCAGGTCAGAAAACAAAACCAGGTCAATTATTAAAATATCAGTCATTAGTCAGAGACAACATCAATAAAATAATTGAATTGAGCTTGTGGAAACTCAGTATTGTAGTTGTATTTCCAGCCATTCCTAGCTCTGATTTACAATGAGAAAAAGCACTATCAATTAAAGAAATACACCAAGCAAAAACTAGGGCATCCTCTTTAAATTATCTGTAGAGTAGGGTAAAAGATCTACTTCTTATTCATTATACATAGAACACTACCCACAGATTTTTTGAGACATTTTCCTTGGATTCAGAAAAAATGGGTCACTTGGCATTTAAATGTTTTTTTCTTCCCTGGTTCTAAAATTCTCTTAAAATTAATGTGCTCAGAAAACTTGGAATGATTGGTATGAACAAAGTAATTTTACTGTGTCTTGTTTTCCTTAAGGTCAAAATCAATTATAGAAAAAGAGGTTTCCTTGTCTGCTAAGGGATAAAAGGCAAGTTATCCTCTATTAAAAACAGAATGTTCCTTTGCCATAACATTGTAACATAGCTGTATAACATACGGCTTGCAGTATGTTGGAGGTTGTCTCTGATAACTTGATGAAGCTTCATGAACCTTATTTTTTTTTTTTTTCCCCTTGGATTTATACTGTTTAGGGATTTGAAGTCAAATTGTAATCTTTAGCCATCACAGTATAACAGTAATGCTAGGATGCTTAAATTCCAGCTAGGATCTTATGACTGTTGTGCTAAGAGAATGAATACAGAGGTGAAAATACAAACACATCCTGAGCATTCCTGCTAAACAAAAGTAAATGCTTATGGTTTAGCATTACTTTGGGAGATAGTTTCCTGACACAATCTAATAACTTCCATTTTTTTTCCAGGCTGAAATGTTTAAGTTCCAGTCTTTGTTCTCTTTTCTCTCTCAGGCCAGTGGAAACATTGTTGTGAGGAACTTATGAAAATTGAGATTATGTCACCACGGAAACCATCTTTGTTCTTGACAAAGGAAGCGACCTCTGTCTACCATGATATGAGTAAGTAGGATTTGCCTTTTCAAGTTGCAGAGTAACAGAAACAACGTTGTCTGAATTCATATGGCTTCTGGCGTTGGTGTTGAAACACTGAGTTTTTCAAGGACAAATCAGACAATGAAAGAGCAACATAATTGTATACCAAGGAGTTTGTATTAAATCTGAATTTGTAATTGTGCAAATAATGAATACATTTTTATACCTTTAGCTAAAAAATCTGCAATCTGCCCCTGAACACCGTCAAAAAACTGTCCCTAGAAATAAACACTCATGGTAAGAGTAGTATACAGCTCAAAAAATGTAAAGGTAAAATAGTCCAGCTCACAAACCAATTCCATGAAATTAATCTGCTGTTCTTACAGCTATTTGAAGGCTTACCTAGCATAACTTTCCTAGTTTTTTGGTCTTTGATAATGATGTTGAAAAATATGCTTGGAAAAGCTAGCTAGAGTGTATCTGCGACTTGTATTTTTGCAGAGAAAAATGGTATGCAGCAGTTGTTTTTTTTAATGGTTTTGTTACAGAAATAATATTTACAGACTAGAAAAAGTGGGTCACTTTGTTTTACTGGGTCCAATGCAGTATTGACTGAGAAACACTGTATGACTAAATGCTTGACTGCTTGCTGCTTGGGATGGAGCTGTGATGATGCTCAAAACACCATGTGGGTCATTGAGCTACTGTGCATCAGAGCACTGAACAGCCAAGTTTTATCTAAGTTGTGAATGCAGAGCAGAAATGCATTAAATGAACCACACAGAAGCTTTACAAAGGTAACATGGTAGCATAATTCCACTGATACACATGTACCTCAGTGAGGAGCAGAACACAAACTCTCTTTCACTCTCAATACACCATTTTTTTCCATGGCTTATATATAGTATTTGTAGTAGCCTGTACTCAGCACTGGTGAGGCACCTCAAATCCTGTGTTCAGTCCTGACTCTCTCATGACAAGAAAGACATTGAGTGGCTAGAGCATGTCCAGAGAAGGGCAATGAAGCTGGGGAAGGTTCTGGAGCACACATGTGATGAGGACTGACTGAGGGAGCTGGGGGTTTTTAGCTTGGAGAAAAGGAGGCTGGGGGGGGACCTTGTGGTTCTCTACAGCTCCCTGAAAGTAGGGTGCAGCCAGGGGAGTTCAGTCCCTTTTCTCAAGTAGCAAGTGGTAGGACAAGAAGAAACAGTTGTCCTGAGGGAGGTTTAGATCAGCTATTAGGAGGAATTTCTTCACAGAAAGGGTTGTCAAGCAGTGGCACAGGCTGCCCAAGGCAGTGGTAGGAGTACTATTTTGGAGGTATTTGAAAGACATGCAGATGTGGTGCTTAGGGACATGGGTTGGTGGTGGACTTGGCAGTGCTGGGGTAACATTTGGACTCAAGGACCTTTAAAGGTCTTTTCCATCCTAAACTGTTTCGTGATTCTAGTGAAAATCAGATACTGCTGCTGTTTGAGGCTGGTACTACTGCAGTATACATAGAAAACTCAGTAAGAATAAGAAACGGAGCAAGGCAGTCTTAAGGCACCTAGAGAAAAATGATCTATGTAAAGATGTCACATTTTCTACACACTGGTAGCATAAGAATATTTGGTCATAGACTTTCATGGGCCTCCTGTGAAACAAAATTTTCAAAGCACTATACAACAAAATGTGTTTAATAACTAATACATACAGGTTTCCCAGTAAATACACTCGTTTTTTCTTTTACTTGGAAAGAAATACCAGCGCCTACCCTGCTGCCTCAATGCCAGCTGTCACAAAATTAATTCCCTCCTGCCACCTCAGTTCTCTCTTGGATAGAAAATGTAATATTTTTCATTTCATCCGTTAATACTCTTAGTAGTACAGACTTGGTGAGACAGTTAATACATCTTTGTATTCTGAGTAGTAATAACTAAATCACTGGTGGTGTTTCAGTCTGGGTTAATTGCTGTCCCTTAAAATTACAGGCATTGATTCTCCAGTAAAACATGAGGGCTTAGCTGATATCATACAAAGGAAAATTGAAGAGAGTGATGGTGAGTTCCTACTTGGCCAGGAAAAAGAGTCTGCATCTGCCCTATGGGCATCACTCTTTGATGGATCTCATGAGATGACTGTTGAGAAAAACATGCATCTGGACCCCAAAAGATATACTACAAGTCCTAATGGCAGCAGAGGAAAGAATAGAGCTCCATCTCCACCCTCTGATAAGTCACCATACAGTGCAAAAGCACAGGTGAGCACAGAGCAACTGGACAAGGAAAACTGGAGGAAGCCTGACCATACATCTGCCAGTAGCTCTTCCTTTGAGTCAGTGTTATCTACAAAAATGCAGCAGCTGCAAACCCCTATTGCTCCTCCTCGCAAAATTGGTCCTTCTGGAAAAAGTGTTTTAGCTGGCCTGGGGAATCCCATTTCTCTGCTGAGCAAGACCAAGTCTGAAACCAAACCAGTACCCTAGACAGAAGGGCATCACAGAAATACTAGACCCCAGGTCCTGGATGCATCCATAGGCATCATATTTAGCTTAAAGGAGTCTTTGGAATTTAAAGTTTCTCAGCATTCTCCTAATACTCTTCATTAAAACTCTTCATTTAGCATATAGCTCAAGTGTTTCCTGTAATCCAGGACATTACTGCTAGCTGCAGTCTCAGCTGTATTCACTAGTGCTCATCTAAATAATTGCGGGGGTGAGTGGGGTCTGTCTCTGTCTGGAGTAACAGTGCTATTTCTGAAAACAATAGTTCAGTACTTTCCTCTTGAAAAAAACCACAGTATTCAGGGTAACCTCAGTTGTCCCCACAGCAGGGATGTTACCAGTGCCTCCTACCAGTCCCTCAGCCTAGCCCAGCCACAGCTCCTCAGACTACTTAAGTGGGAATTCGCACATATTTCAGCACAGATCTTGCAAAGCTGATTTTCTTGGCCTTCATGCTTGCTGCATCTTCTCTCTCCCTTCCTGTTTAGGAAACACTGCTTATATGGTAATCAAGTATGAAAAGCTTTTGTGCTGTTCTGAATGGCTCTGTAACACCATATGAATTTCTGAGGCAGTTCTATCAATTTAGTGTGAGATTTCCCAAGTTCCTGCTGGTTCATGTGCTACTGGAATGTACCAGGGTCTTTAAGCAAAGATGTGATCCATCACTGCTGTTTATTTTGGGCTAAGACAAGGGTTTAAAAGCAGTTGCTGGGTATGCACATGTGCTCATCTTACGGTTGCTTTTCCTGACAAACCTGGCTCCTGACAAACCTGGCTCTGTAACACAGCTCCTCCTTTGTGGAGCCTCTCAGCTGTTCCTGGTAGTGAACTGGTTTGTAAACAGGCAGTGTTACTGGAAAGTAAACAGGTTTTTCACTACTTGTTCTTTCTGCAATAGCAGAGAAGAAGCACTTCAGGTGACGATACTGAGCTTCGATATTCTTTCATCAGACTGTTCACCACTTCTGTAAGAAGTATGGGTTGTTAGGGTTCCTGTGGCACCTCCAGCACATCTACTGCATAAGGAAAAGCTGTATGCTCTCAGATCCACAGTTTAAATGCCCAACAGTTTCCTTGGTTGATGCATTTGTCTCAGATGCTGGAACTTATCCAAAGACAAAGGTCTGCTTGCAGTTCTCCCTCTGGAGTCTTGGTGCTCAGACCTGTGTTGAGAGGGTCATATAAGCAACTGTATACATACAGTTCATTTTTATTATTTTTTTTCCAAAGTTTGGATGACTCTGGGAGCTTTACCATTTCTCCAGAAGACACTGTGGGCATGGTTGGTTGATTTTATCTAATTTTTTTGTCTTCTGCTAAGCTCTTGGCTGCACAGTTGTAAAGGTATTTGCTGAATTCCCTCAGTAGTTCATTTGGGATGGGGTTTCAAGGCAAGTTTCATTTACAAATCCTTTTGCAGGATTAGAGCCCTTTGTTCTAGAATGTCCTTGTTCATTCTTTGTTTAATCACATTCCATTTTCCCTCTGAAACAACCATAATCATTCTTACAATAAATCATGCTCTTACTTAAGTGGATGGTTTGTGAAGAGCTTATAAATAGGAACAGAAAAACTGAAGAAAAACTACATGATTATGTAAATCAGACAGTGAACTAAGTGGACTGTACAACTCTGAGCAAGAAATGGGAAAAATTTGGGCATGGGGGGAATCATATTTTCCAAAATGCAACTGCAGTTTATTTAGTTTTAAATCTAGCCCTAAATGTTTCTGTGCTCAGAAAGAAAAAAAACAACTTTTATTGGTAACCCCCTTTCATTTTGTAGTTATAGTTAAAAAAAAACCCTCATAAATATATGAGGCATATATACGAGGCACCATAATAAGGATTTATTTTTAAATTCAGCAGGCCATTGAACTTCAACAAGCAGTTTCTCTATTAAATTCAGTGGCTTTGTTTTGAACTGTACAAACATATTTTTGCAAGGCATTTAATATTAATTTGAAGTCTTCAAGTGATGAGAATTCACTCATACCTCCTGTTGCAATACTTAATTACCCTAGGTACATTTTTCACTTGATTTTCTATTTGCATTTCTAGCTCCACCTTAGGTTATTTTGGTCTTTTTATGCCTTTGATTGCTTATATTGATCTCTGTAGTATCAGCTTTTCTAATTGCCTGTGTGTAGTTATAAATCATGATTATGTCCCCTTTAACCTTTTCTCTGATGAGATGTACTGAATTCCTTAACTTTCCTATGGCAGTGAATGTTATCCAAGACTAATTAATCTTCACATTCTTCTCTGTAATTCTCATATGTAGAAATATTTGTAAGGGTGACATCTGAATTAGATGATGCATGTCAATAGTGATCCATCAGGACTGTATAGAGCCATAATGTGATGCTTTTACTCTGATTAATATCTTGCTCACTTTCTTTCCTTAAAAATTACATTATCTTTTTATTGGTAGAAGCACTGCCTTAGATGCTGACTTTTATGGGCCAAGTCCTCTTCAGAGTCTTTCTCAAGAATATGGTACATCATCCTCTTATTACCTTACCTTATATTTTCTTGGAAATACACATTGTATTTTGCCAGCATTAAAATACTGCTCATGAAGTGATCCAGATTGCTCTGTGTAAGTAACCTGTCCTCATTCTTTACTACTCCAGCAGTCTGCATTTCCTTTGCAAATTTATTGCAAATGATTTTTACAGTTTATTATATATATCATACATTATATATATCATTGATTTTTAAAATTGAATGCAAGGCAAGGTTTGTAGAGAGAGGTGGTAAATTTTTATTACAGCAGTGACGTGTAGGTAAGGGGTGGGGAAAAGCAAACAGACAGGCCATTGATTTCTGTCCCGTTTATCCCAGAGCCTTTACCTACTTTGAGTAAGGTGGCAAACAGCTATATTTCTTGCTGAATCCCTATTAATACTGTATCTTGAAATTATTACTATGATATTTTAAAGAAAATTACATGTTCATCTTGTTTTCAGAAAGTTACTTGGGGTTCTTGTGGGTAACACCTCAGTGCAGGTGTCTTTGGAAGCCAAGCTTAATATATCAAAGAGTAAAATGTAACCTGATGTTCAGTACCTATTCTCTGTGAAGCTGTGTCAATATTTTATATCGATCCTTAAATTAGACTCATGTGAGCCAGCTCATGATATTGCAATGACCATCACTAAGCAAACAAGGCCATTGATTATTCTGTTCATCTGCTTCAGAACTATATAATCCCTATTCTGAAGAATGAGTTGATTGTTGATTTCAGGTATTAGTATTTACTGTTACTTCATCTTTCTTTTCTTCCCCGCCTGTTCCTGCCTTCTGTATTGCTATTATTGCCTTTGCATCTTCTGTGAAGCAAGTTGGTTTAGCCAATAAAACCTGCAGCTACCAGGAAACGCAGAGCTCAGCTATACAATAAAGTCAGTGCCCCTCAAGGAACTGCTGCTCCCTGGCAGTAGATGAGAATGTAATGTTTCACCATCTTAACAGCTGCATTTGATCATGAGGATGCTTTAATTGCATGACTCAAAATAGCAGTAATCAAAACCCAAAAGTCATTTGGCAGCCTCCTGCTGGGATAAGGCTTGGAGGACAGCAGAAGGCCTGTGGCTTCTCCAGCCCTTTGTGTCCCACTCCCTTGTGTTCGAATTTGTGTAGGCAAGTTGGAATACTATCACCTAGCAGGGAAGTCCATTGAGAAACACATCTCCCAGGATGAATGGCTTAAACAATCCGGTGTAGCACAGGGAGGATGTTGGTAGCACCTGCTGAACTATGCATGGGATTAGAGGCTTTTCTGAGGAATGTGTCAGGCCTGCTCTGAAAACTGTACCTGTTTGTTCTCTGCTGGGATGAATTAATGCTGCTTAAAACCAGAATTAAGTGATTGGATGCAGTCTTGAAGTGGGGCAGAGACAGGAGTCAGCCTGAACTTTTCTTATAAGAAGTTCAGCTTGAAAGTAATTGCTAGTTCAAACTTGAATATAAATTTCACAGAACATGAACTTATGAAATATTGACTGAACAAAGACTTAATTTATTAACTTTTTATATTTACCTAATGCCTTCAGCTGTTTACTTGGTCTTGGAGTGGTAGATGGTACCTTCTGTGGTTTTAAAGGTATTACCTTCAAATGCTTAGATTTTTACTAGGATTGTGATTTTTATTTTCATATGGTAATAATACTAATAGTTATTTTATGGTGGCTTGTATGTATTTGGAAATACTGCCATAGTATTCAGTGGATTTTTAATTAATGCAAACTGCCATAATAGGAAAGTGGAAATTTGGGCACTAATGTGTTGAGAAATTTTAGAACAGAAATCCTCTTATTTTGTTGCTAGCATATTGTATTTCTGTTAAAATATGCAAGTAAAATAAAAATGTTTCTAGAATAAAAGGTTTTTGGTGTGATTTTCTTCAATCTGGAACTACGTTAAGATTTAGTCCAGTGTATAAACCATGTGTGATGGCTGCTGTAAAATGAGAGAGCTCAGGAGTAGCTACTTTTCCCTTGGGCCTGCCATGAAGGTACCCCTATAGGCTCATACTGGCAATAGCAAATAGTATCAGCCTTTCCTGACCTGGAGGAAAAGCCACTTAACTGGCTTTCAGTTAAATCAATGCTGTCTGCCATCCAGTGAATCCAACAGACAGCACCCTGTCTGAGTAGGTAAACAAAGAAATTTCAGTTATCTGAGATGCACCTTTTTTCCACAATGTGCAAAATGAAACATCCAGTTTCAGGTTACATCATTTTTCTCTCATAGTCATGCAGGAAAACATGCCATGAAGCAGATTTACATCTTGTTCTCTGCTTTGTAAGGTGGCTTCATAAATGAGCCACTGATATTCATTAATTAATGTTAATTATTATTAACTAATTAATTGTAGTTAATGATATAAATTTATAATTAATAATGATTAATAATATATCATTCATTAATTATAGGCCAGTCAGCCTGACCTCAGTACCTGGTAAGGTAATGGAAATGTTTATACTGAGTGTCATCATGCAGCACTTACAGGATGGCCAGGGTATCAGACCCAGCTAGCATGGATTTAGGAGGGGTAGGTTGTGTTTGACCAACCTGATCTCCTTTCATGACCAAGTGACCCACCTGGTGGATGCAGGAGAGGCTGTGGATGTTGTGTACCTGGCCTTCAGCAAGGCCTTTGACACTGTCTCCCACAGCACGCTCCTGGAAAAGCTGGCAGCTCATGGTTTGGACAGGAGCACTCTTTGCTGGGTTAAGAACTGGCTGGAGGCCAAGCCCAGAAAGTGCTGGTGAACGGTGCTGCATCCAGCTGGTGGCCAGTCACCAGTGGTGTCCCTCAGGGGTCTGTGCTGGGGCCAGTCCTGTTGAATATTTTTATTGGTGACATGGATGAGGGTATTGAGCCTTTCATTAGTAAATTTGCAGGCGACACTAAGCTGGGAGTGTGTGTTAATCCGTTGGAAGGTAGGAGGGCTGTGCAGAGAGACCTGGAACTGTTGGATGGATGGGCAGTGTCCATAGAGTAAAGTTTAACAAGTCCAAGTGCCGAGTCCTGCATTTTGGCCACAGTAACCCCCTGCAGTGCTATAGGCTGGGGACGGTGTGGCTGGACATTGCCCAGGCAGAAAGGAACTGGGGGTACTCGTGACAGCTGGCTGAACATGAGCCAGCAGCGTGCCTGGATGGCCAAAAAGCCAACGGCATCCAGGCCTGGATCAGGAATAATGTGACCAGCAGGGGCAGGGAGGTCATTCTTCCCCTGTACCTGGCACTGGTGAGGCTGTACCTTGAGTTCTGGGTCCAGTTCTGGCCCCTCAGTTCAGGAAGGACATTGAGACACTTGAGGAGGGCAACAAGGTTGGTGAGGAGCTTGGAACACAAGCCCTGTGAGGAATGGCTGAGGGAGCTGGGGATGTTTAGCCTGGATAAAAGGAGACTCAGAGGTGACCTTACCACTCTCTACAGCTTCCTGAAAGGTGGCTGTAGTCAGGTGGGGGTCGGTCTCTTTCTCCAGGCAGCAACTGACAGAATGAGAGGACACAGTCTCAAACTGCATCAAGGGAAATATAGGTTGGATGTTAGGAAAAAGTTTTTCATGGATTGAGTGATAAAGTATTGGAATGGTCTGCCTGGGGTGATGGTGGAGTCACCATCCCTGGATGTGTTTAAAAAAAGACTGGATGTGGCACTCAGTGCCATAGTCTAGTTGTGTTAGGGCATGGGTTGGACTTGATGATCTTGGAGGTCTCTTCCAACCTAGTCATTCTGTTCTTGAATTCTGTTGTTAATTAATTAATCAATCCATCCATTAATTGTTTTCCTTTTAGAAGCAGCCTTGTGCTGAAGGGAAGCTTATGCACCTCACCAGCTAGAACTCACTGTGGCACTGCAAATTTAGAACTTACTGAGCTGCTCAAGTAAAGTGTTCTTTTCACCCAGTTATAAAATTAGTATAATAAATGAAAGGGAATTGATAGACATTTTAATTTTGGAAGAAGAGTCCATGAAACAAAGTGGGATTGACAATTGCAAGGCAAGACAGTGCAGCTGAGTGATTAAATGAAAGCTGTGCTTCATTTAATCATTCTTAAAGCAGTTTGCTTTAAGAGATCATGGGAATACAAGATGATCATCTCTTCATATAACCATTAGCAAATGGTTAAACTGTAATCATTCCATATATGTACTATATACTCACCAAAAAAAAAAGTTTGTGAGACATGAAAATAAATTGCTTTTTATGAGGAAAGAACAACCTTTCAAGATTTTTATATCAAGATAGCTTTCTAAATGTTTTTTATGTACCTCCCCGGAGGAAGAAAATTTATAACTAATGAAGTGTCTTTTATTTTGTTAGTTATTTCTGTAAATACTTTGCTATTTCTTCACATTTCTATAAACTTCTTGCAAAATAGCTACAAAAATATATTATTAATAATATACATTGTTTCACCTAAAGGCTTTTTCTAGGCTCTTGTCCAGTGTTAGGTAGATATAGGAATACTTGCAGAAGAAAGTAGTTTCAAACACAGCCTCTTCACAGCCCTTAGTAATTACAGGCTTTTTAATATGCAGATATGGGAAGCCTTTTAGTCTGTCAAAATTTCACTTTATGTCTCTGTCTGGACACTAATTCAGAGTGGCAGTTAAAAAATTGTATTCTTTAATTTACTTAAATTTTGGCATCACTGCTGTCTTGTAGCACTTGCAGCTTGATGATATGCCACGAGTTTTCTTTCCAAATTTTAAAATTTGTGTATTTTTTTTTGCTAAGAAGGAAAGGGTCAGCAAGTGTTCATCACGTGCCTTTTTATGTCACTGAATATAAAAGTGGTTCCAAAATACAAATATCATTGATTAAGTTTTTTCACCCTAAAGGGAAATGGTCCCAGTCTTTTCCATCTTCATTTGGATTATATTTTTCATTTTCTAATTAGTGTCTATTTCAAAATCCCACATGTATTTTGATGGTATCTTGCTTGAGCTGGGTGCCCAGACCTGAACATACTCTACTCACTCAGGGGTGCTCTTGATATACAAGAACAGAATACATTCATTAATATTGCCTCCATTTTAGGTATTCATTCTGCATTAGCAAAAACCAAATAAAAATATTTCCATAACTGTGTGGCCAGAATGGTGTATGCCTAAATAAAGATGTAACTTAAGCAAGGGAAGATCTTAGTGCTGTTATGGTAAGCTTAATATCTCACAAATTTCTCAATAGCAGGAAAAATTGTTTTAACTGCATGGCTGGAATGAGTGAGCTGCTTTGTCCTCACAGCATTTGTTTTTCAGATAGTAGCTGCTTTACTTTGGTTTGGAGTGGTCATTACTCTTCAGTCCAACATCTGTACAAAAGGGTTGAGAGCTTTTGAAATAAACTGAGAGCAATTTAACTGACCTTCTCATGACGTGGATGGATCAGCTGGAGTGTCAGTTGCCGAAGCACTGAGTAACAGATTCTTAGCCTGTACATTTGGCTTGTAGTAAAATAGAGAGCCTGTGGCAACTTTGTCTTTCTTCTGAATCCAGACCTAGGGACTGGATGTAGAGGATGAGAAAGCTCTTCTCATTGCTGTAACTTTATCACACAGCATGGGCCGCCTGACATGGGGCAGACCAGTTCTTCAAGCATGGAAGAAATTTTGCTCAAAATTAGTAGTCTCAAATTTTATTAACTAAATGGAAAGCCTTTTAAGGACAGATCTTAATAGTGGTATTCAACACGTGACTTTAGGTCAAATTGGATTTAATACACCATGCCTTTACTATATCAAGATTTTTCTATTATTTTAATAAGAGTTCATTTGTGTGTCCAATAATGCATCACATTTTATTCATGACATCATTAGAAAGATTCTTAAATAGTTTCTTGATCATTAACCTAAAGAAGGATAAAGGTCTGCTGTCTTGGGAACACCTCAGGTTTAACCCAGCTCATGCAATAGCCACTTGAGCCTACAGCTTGATGCACACTTTTCCATTCATTCATTTTAAATAATTCTATAATTTCTTGGCAAGTAAAGTTAGTAATTTTCAAGCATTAATATGTAACCTGCTAATTACATTTTTCATAAGGATAAGCCAGAACACATGAGCCTTCAGCTACACTACAGCTTACTAGAATGATTAATACAAACTTCAGCAACAACTCGTTTACTTGCTTTTTTCTACGTTTCCCTTGGCAGTGCAAATTCTGTCAATTACACCTGGAAAAAAAAAAAAAAGAAAAAAAGAAAAAGGAAAAAGGAAAAATAATTTACTTTGGCTCCATCTGTCTCATGTTGAAGCATTACAGAATTCACAGAATTTACAGAATGACTAGATTGGAAGAGACCTCCAAGATCATCAAGTCCAACCCATGCCCTAACACAACTAGACTATGGCACTGAGTGCCACATCCAGTCTTTTTTTAAACACATCCAGGGATGGTGACTCCACCATCACCCCAGGCAGACCATTCCAATACTTTATCACTCAATCCATGAAAAACTTTTTCCTAACATCCAACCTATATTTCCCTTGATGCAGTTTGAGACTGTGTCCTCTCATTCTGTCAGTTGCTGCCTGGAGAAAGAGACCGACCCCCACCTGACTACAGCCACCTTTCAGGAAGCTGTAGAGAGTGGTAAGGTCACCTCTGAGTCTCCTTTTATCCAGGCTAAACATCCCCAGCTCCCTCAGCCATTCCTCACAGGGCTTGTGTTCCAAGCTCCTCACCAACCTTGTTGCCCTCCTCAAGTGTCTCAATGTCCTTCCTGAACTGAGGGGC